TCTTCCAGACTTATCTATCTGTCTGTCTGTCTATCATCTATCTATCTATCTATCTATCTATCTATCTATCTATCTATCTATCTATCTATCTATCCAATCTATCTCTATCATGTATCTATGTATAATTATATTATCGCTTATTCTATACGTATTAAGAAGGAAAAATTATTCTTTGCGGTTTCTCGGATTTCCCCCCAGAATTATTATTTTCCTCTAACTATATGGCCCCATAATCTCCATCTTGTAATACTAATATTAATGCGCGTCTGGGAAAGTGAAACTGAAAAAGGGCGTCGAAGTCTGTGATCAAATATTAAGAAATTCTGCCGGTCCTTGGGTGGACTGATGTGTTTAATGTATATCCTTATTGTAAGTCAGATTCCGCTAATTTTGAAAAGGTCACAGTTTCGGGAGCCTCTCTTTATAGACTTGAAGTGCACCAAGAAGACCAGTTGTCCCATTAAAAACCAAAACGGGGGGAGGAAGGCTGTTTGTTGATTTATTTATAGTTAAGGGGGGGGAAACCCCCGATCTATCTCCGAGTTAAGACCAAGTCTTTAGCCCCAAACCCTTGAGGTCCCACTGAATGTGGATTGGGGTTGGAGCCGGGGAGACAAGTCCCTTGGACTGATTCAGATGATATCTAGGTTCTAGAACAGTGAAAAGGTGGGTGTTATGGACATGGAAAGGATGGAGTTTGCAAGTATAAAAAAGGAGTCACCTTTTGCTTTCGGGAAAAGGGTCCGCTAGGAGTTAAACACGGGTCTAGGAGACCGGGGTTGTAAATAAACTCCTCTTCGATACACACACATACGTATGTCAGGGAGACTGTGAGTGAGTGTGTGTACACATTTATCGCCTTTAAAAAAATTGTATATTCACGTTGCATTTCCCACCAGTGAACTGGCTTGATTAAAGGTGCAATCCGGGAACTGGAAAAATCAGTGGCAGCGTGGCCATATGGGTTGCCCCCTTGAATAAGCAAATAAGAGCCAGAAGCGAAACAAGAAGCAAATTAGCAGCAATAATAGAAAGAGTAGCATTGCCCGATGAACGCCAGCGTTGTAGTCTTCCCCTGTCTCCGCCCCTTCGTATATTAGCTGGTTCGTGTGTGTGTGTGTGTGTGTGTGTGTGTGTGTGTGTGGTTTTGTTTTGTTTTTTTTTAAAGAAATGAATAAATAGGCTTAAAACAAAGCTGTTACTCCTACTCCGTCAGATCTCTCCAAATGAATTCGGGTTAGAATATATTTTAATGAGTGTGTGTGTGAGTGAGTGTATATATATATATATCCACACGCAGACATATATATACACACATGTAAATATATGGAAAGAGTAATTCTATAAACATGGCGACAGAGAAGAGCATTTGCACTCGTCACAAAAATGCAACGCATTCTTGGTTGTTTGCAGAAAATTTACAGCTGAGCAATAAAAGTTTACGACTGAATCACAAGTTGGATTGGCCACAGGAAGTCATGTGGACTCCATCCATGAACGTGAACTTTTTATTGTGGTTTCTCTTATGACTCTTTCGCAGTAGTCCTTCCTTTAACAGTCCAAGCAGTGCCAGTGAAACGGGGGTACGATGGTATCTGTATTTTTTCCTTTTAATTATTATTAGTATTTTTTTCTGGTGGTGGTAGTGGAGGGGGTGGGGGAAGGAATCTCGAATTGTCTCTGTTCTTTCCCCCTCCCTCCCTCCCTTCTTTTTTTCTTTTTTTCTTTCTCCCTTTCTTTCCTTTGGGGTTGGAATTGTTGGTTGCTCTGGGCATTTTAGGAATAATGAGTTTACTGCTGCGGCTGGGTGCCTCCTCCCATTCTCCACCCCTAGGGGCAAAACGCAACACACTTCCTTGGGAGGATGCAATGACGAGGGGGACAAGGAGTTGTAAATACCTTTATTTTGTTTTATTTTTAAGGGGGAGGGAGGGGGAAGAGATGCTAGCCCCGTCTTCTCTCCTGACCCCCAAGTTAAAAAAAAAAAACAGAAGAAGACTATTTTATTTTTTGGTTTATTTTCTGTCTATCCCTCCCCCCACGCCCACTCTTTTTTGTTTTGTTTTCTTTCTCTTTTTTAATATTTCTGTGGAGCTGAACACAGCGTCAGCGGAACAGAAGAGAGGCAGAAGAGAGAGAGAGGAAGGGGAGAGAGAGAGAAGGAAAGAGAGAGAGAGAGAGAGAGAGGAAGGGGAAAGAGAATCTGGTAAGTGTTCCCTTATTGGCTAAAATGTGTAACTAATGATCCATGGCGATGGGTGTTATAGATAATGATGCATCGTTTTCGCGAAGCAGACGGAAAGAGGGGTGTAGCCTGGTTATGACAGAATATGATCAGGAAGGATCGGCGCAAATGTGGTTAATTCGGGGGAGGAGGGAGGGGGGCGAACGGTTTGCTAGTGGTGATGTCACTGCGGTCTGGTTTGCTGGAGACAGAGGATGCCGGCTGCAGTCTGCCTCCCCTTTACAATGGTGCAGTGTTTTACTGGGGTGGGGAGGATGGCGGGAGGGCTGGGATGGAAGCGCCCTCGCGGGGGGGTGGGGTGGGGGGAGGAACACAGCGGCGAGAAAGCGCCTGTGGTCGTAGAGTCCAGTAGTTAAAGTCAATGAGAGTATCCGGATCCAGCATCAGATTGGGCCCAAAGGCCATTGAATCCATTTAATTATTATTACCATCGTTATTTAAAAAGTTTCTAGCGTGCGCGGATTTTGTTTTTGTTTTGTTTTTTTAAAAAAGAGATAAACAGCAGTGGCAACTTTTCTTAAGAGCAATTGAGCGCAGTGAGTACTTCAAGCACATGCGCAGTGTGCGCTCTCATCCAGGAAACGGGAGGAAGATCCCCCCTGGTGTACAGCGAGAAAGTAGCCAAGCAAGCAGGAGTGCCATTTTTAATGAGCAATTATGAGCTAGCTGTGTTTGTTGTGAAGCAGGAGGCGCCTTACCTTTCCACTCTCTCCCCCCAACACATGGTTCCGATTGGCTCTTCGGAAAGCTTATATATTTTAAAGACTATATTTAGGAGTTGACCGGTCCGCCCCATTTGAGAGTGTGTTTCTCTGTGTCAGTCTCAGGCCTCCCCCGCCCCTCCAGGAAAGGTGCAGTCCAATCTAGCAAAGCATGAATCCTGACTTTATTTCTCTCTCTCTATAATTTGATGGCTGTTTAAAGAGTTTAAGAAATAAACCGCATTGTTTGGATGTGCCATGTCAACGTTTTACGGTGTGGAGCGTGTATTCCAGTGCTTGCTTGTTTGTTGTGTTGTAACGTTGATGAAGAGGTTTTCCTTCCAACATGTTAGCAGAGAATATGGGGATTTTTTTTATATATTTCCCTTTCTAGAGTCCACACACATACACCACACACTACACCGGTCCAACAAAATGCATTATAGCCCTATCAATATGATTATGGGTGTGTATCTTCCTGAGATTTTCCTCAGTTAATGTGGGTGCAAACTGCATTCCAATTAGTAAATAATAATAATAATAATAATAATAATAATAATAATCAGAAGCAAATAATAACAAAACGGACGACAAGGCTTTCGACAAAAGGGTGGGGGAAGGGAACAAAGACCCAGGTCCCTTACTGAATTTATTCTAAATCCATTCCCCCTTTGCCCATGCTCATAAACATATAGAAATTCAAATCCTTGGGAAGGGCACCCTGTTCGTCTCCCGCTTGTAAGGCCCTTCAGCTAGATTCCTCAATGAAATATTTAACACATTCTGCATCCAGGTTTATAAAAGGCCTCGCCCGCGATAGCGTTTTGCCACTGAGCACACACACACACACACACACACACACACACACACACTGCACGGTGCTTTTTGAGGGGACTTCTAATGAAACGCGTTCTAATTGGATTGCTTGCTGCAATATGTGTGCTGCAATGAATGACTATTGTTTATAAAAGTGGCACACACACACAAAAACCAAATAACATCTGTGGGGGGGTGTTAAATCTGATCAAATACATCCGATCGCGCCAGCCATTTTATTCTTAAGGAAAGCAAGAGCGAAGGCAGCCCATCCACGAGCCTTCCTGGGGGTTCTGTAAACAAAAGAAGCCCAAAACTGGTAAGTGGGACGTGCGTATGTCATGTCTGTGCGTAGAAGGAGCCGCACATTCTAGACGCCTGTGTCTCCCATTTTGCTTTGGGGAGTCGGATTTCTGGGTGTGTGTGTGATGGGGGTGCGGGGATACAGTTTGGGATACCGTTGCTGGACAGTGCGGGCTGCGCGTTTACTCGGGAGTCGGTCAGTTTAGTCTGCAATCGCACCTCGAGGGGCCAGTAAACCCCACCGTAGTCCATAGGAATGCGTTGCTCGCTTTCTAAATGCGCTTCCTATTGGGCGTGTGGAAGAAAGCCAGGTGGCTTACTTGCAGGTAAATGGGTTTAGGAGTGGCGGTAACGAACCAAGGTACGCCCTCCCTCCGATTAGCTTGGGTGAATATTTATATATGCGGTGGGTTCCATTACTGACTGCAAAGGAGGTCGCAATAAGGACCTTAAAAAAAATAAAAAATGATCAGGCAATGGTTATTTGAACCACATGGTTGCCGGACTGTCGTTGTCGTCGTCCCCCCCTTCCTTTCCTCCTCTCGTTTCTGGAGTTAGGACGTGTTTTTGTGGTGGTTGAAGAGATATGAATCCCTTTCGATATTTGCCTGTTGTCCAATGTTATTTGCTGTGCCTTTTCCTTTAGCCTTCTGCAACAACCACCCTCTCCTCTCTCCCAGGATTGCCCATACAATACACATTTTAATGTATTGATTTAGTCTTTAAACTGACATATTGCCGTTGTTCATAAACTCAGAACGTTGGAGCTGATCTAAAAGGAGGGAATATAAGAAAAACTGATTTATATTCCCTGCACTTTACAGACCAAACGAGAAGAAATGAATGGCTCCTTTTATCTATAACATCACCATAGACGAGGGATCATAGTGAACATTCCCAGGCATTATTGACACACAGGTCCAGGAAAGGGGCGGGGGGGGGAGAGACAGACTACATCCAGGAGCAAAATCCGATACTGTGATAGTTAACGTTGGCCCCCGCACGTAGCTTTTAATCCTTGGTGCGTGTCATAAACAGGGCAGTAAATGTGAAAATTGAAAACCACAAATGTGACACGGTAATATAAATCACACACATATATATTTATTAAGGGGAACGAGTGCCATAATAAAAACAATTGGAAGAACATTACAATTTTACAACAACTGCAATATCAATAATACATTTCTTTACAGCAGCAAAACCGTATCAACAACAATAAAAGCAACCGCCACTATCTATGTGCCTATTTTTCAACATAGAAAGAGAGAAACGGGGCGGGGGGGAGGGAGGGAAGCAGCTGCTGGAGCTGGGGGTGAGAGTGGGAAAGGGAAAAACATAATGAGAGAAACTTTTTTTTTAATGACAACTTCAGTAACTGTCGTAATAATGCACCCTGAAATCGTGTAATATATACCAATTTACATTTCATTTAGGAGAGAGTGCAGGGAGGCTGGCGGTGTGCGCATGAGCAGCTGAGAGTTGGGGGGGATACGTACAATTAGGATTGCTTAAATCAGTGTTCAAAGTTTTTAAACATAAAATAAAATAGCCGAAGTAGGCGGCCACGTTGCTTAGAATAATTATGGTCTGGCTGCAAAGTAGCAGCTGCTAAGCCCTGACCTTGTTTATGAAAAGGATAGGGCGAGTTGGGAGAGAACTTCACTTTTCAATGATTTTGTTGTATGTGCCTCTGGTTTTTAATTTTCATTTTAATTGCGTCTGGGACTTGGCTTCCTACATTTTACATTTTAGCACGCTTTGCACTGTATTGGCCTGCGGAACTGAGAGGCTGTCTTGGGCCTATGGCGATGCGGGTATTTTCCGGACCTTCCCTTAAGTGGCAAACGTATTTAAGGTCCATGAGTTACAATGAGAGATTATTTACGCACGTGCTTAATTAACTCTGGCTTTGAAATCAGTAGGTGTTGAACGTTCCTCACTTTCCCCGGATCGTGTCCATACATTTGTGTGATGCATTTTTTATTTGTAAAAATGGGGCTGGCTGAAATAAACAAAAACTTTACACAGGCTTTTATATATATAAAAGGGGGGGGGGGGAGACTGGGTCTTAAGGGCAAAGTTAAAAATAAAATAAAATCACGTCCCAGAAGCAAAAGGGAGAGAAAGTTACAATTTGAAGGGGGAAATGCGGGGGAGGGGGGGGAAAGAGACATTGATGGACGAAAGAATGGTACCTGTGAGTCAAAAGACTACGTGGTCTAATATATAATATGTGATATAATATGTTATTATATGTCTCACGTACATATGTGATATGGGGCGTTTGTGTGCGTGCATGTACATTTCAACATTGCAGACACAGGTCTCTTGCAGAGTGCAACGAAATATCATAATTTCAGCATCACATCCACTTATTTGGTTGAACTGAAATGTGCAGCCCTGAGGATGGGTTATCTTCAGTCGGATGCCAGAAAATCTGGGGGCGCAGTCGGTTCTGTGTTTATATTTTATATGCTGTTCTGCATAACTGTTCGTGTACCGTGGAGGGAAGTTGTGGATATAGAGGATTAAAAAAACGAGAAAGCACGTGACAGTTTTGATTCCTGGAATTCCTGATCAGATCTACTGGATCCACTGGCGTTTCTTGAGGTTCATCTAATGAACACAGGGCAATTTACTGTTGCTGTGGGTGAGGTTGTGCAGTACACCCCGCTGTCCTGACTGTATAAAATAAACGTGTCGTGAGAAAGGGAACCCACAAAGCAATAAAACTTAGCGGGTGCAATCCAGCTCCGTGAAAACCCACTGGATTTTCTGCCGTTGATTTCGATGAGATTTGTGCGTTTGCCACTAGACACAAGCTGAACTGCGTTTAGAGTGACCCAAACTTTGGCGCAAGGCCGCCTCCTGTTTTCCCAATAAATTAACAGCAGGTAATAAGTTTAGACCGTCCGGATTTAAATCGAAACAGAAAGGCCTATAAGGCGAGCCAGACCTTCTTAAACGTAGTACAGTAAATAGGAAAGACGTTCTGCTGGTTTTAACTGCAGTGGATTTCATGAAACGTGGAGAGGATCGGAGTTTTCCTCCAGCAAAAGACCACGGCGGTGGTCAACCCTTGAAAGTAAACTCCGCCGGTACTAATGAGACTTTACTACCTAGTCTATCATGTTGTTCGGGTAGAGCGGGGTTCAATTTTTTACATTCCATGTTCTTCTTGATTTAAGCAATCACGGACGTTGCCTGAGCTTATGCGCGCGCTCACCTTTCTCTCTACGTAGCCTTTTAAATAGGGGGTCCTATTTTTCTCTCCCCCACCGTCCCTTTCTTTTAATTGCTGCTTTCTTTTTGTTTACTTGTTTTGTATACTGCCACCAAGTGACTGAAACTTGGCAAGCCAACAATTTTGCAATTTGGTCTCTCTCTCTCCCACCTCCCCCTCGCACTTTTGTAGGATGGGTGCGAGAAAGCTAAGGGGGCGCGCACACACGCGCGCACACCAAAATAATAACGCTATTTCACGACTGGAGGGTCAAAATGCTTGGAAGAAAGAGAGCGGGGGGAAAGAGGACGACTGTTGTGCCATAAAGGCCGGAATCTCAGGGTCTTTTACTACTTCCAAGCGACGACAGTCTCCTCCCCTCCGTTCCTGTTGCTGCCTCGTAAACAAGCCCCCCTTTGCGCTGGTTGGACAGTTTAGAACTTTTAAAAAGTTTGGTCTCTTCAAAGCTATTTGGAAGTAGGCTGTTTGAGGGGTTGAATTGGACATTCGGTGGAAGTTCCTCGGTGGCTTCTTCTGTTGCTGTTTGAGGCGGCAATCTCCCTCCCTCTTTCCCCCCTCCCCCCCCATTTGAGAAGGCTGAGTTTTAAATCACTTCCAGTGTTCATGCATTCATAAAAATAGATAAGGCCCGTCAGCTGGAGGACGCCACTCCCGCCCCCACTCCTGGGGGGGGGGAGAGAAGAGAGAGAAAATGAGTGTATTTAAGCAGACCCAAAAATACTAAACTGTCGCACCATTAAAAGTTACGCAAATGGATTGCATTTCCCAAAGTGCAACAAATATTGCCTCTCCAAATATGTAGCTTAATAGTAAGCGATCGGCTTTTTAAAGACACACACACACCATTAAGGCAACTAATACTGTGTCCTGACTTATTTTTTATTTTATTTTCTTCTCCCCCTTCTTGTTCTTCTTCTTCCTGGCGTCCTGAGATTAATTTTTCCTTCTCCCCCACCCCCATGTGCAAACAATAAAATGAAATAAGAACTCATAGATAATGACAACCATTCCTCATCATTGAATTATTCTTCCTGAACGTATTAAAATCGTATCCTTCTTTGTTTAATCTCTTCGCGGGCGTAAGTAGTTGCTTATATCCATATTTTATGTTGCTCTATAATATCACGCTTTATAATTTTTAAGCCGGTAGCTATTCTCCATGACAACTCGACGTGACGTCACGACCGCAACTCTCTTGAATGTCAAAAAGGAAGGAGGGAGGGGGGTCATTGTAGGGAACATTTTCGTGCCATAAAACGGAGTAATCCAAGTCAACCATAAAAGTTCTCTAAACTGAACATCCTTTGGTGAAGTTTGCAGGGCTATCCGACCGTAATAGACATTACACAGTAGCAAGCGGAGAAGAAAACTCGGGGAGGGAGGGGGGGGGAGAGACTCTTAATTGGCCCAATCACCCAATAATATCTTTACCTCCTGTACTGTCAGCATAGGGACACATCATATAGTTTGAAAAATCCCATTGAATATTACAGGGAATAAACAGGGATAAAGAAAAGGAAAATTCGAAATAACTTCTAAGTTGGACAAGCTGTCAGTTTCCGCCGCTGCCTCCCAACCCCGTTACCTTGGACCTTTGCTGATTCAGAGGGGGGTGGGACTCTTTAATTGGCCAAGACTTAACTTATAGAACTATAGTGGCGGTGCGGGGCGTGGGGTGCGGACAGATACAGAAGCAACGTAGTTACTTGAAAATGATTGACCAACGTGAAGTTCCGTTTATAGGAGGCCGGAAGGTTTCCAGTGCTGGAAAGCGGGGGCTCCACCAAGATATCTAGAATGAAAGAAAAACAGACAGATAAATAAGTGTATACATACATGCATGCATGCATGCATACAACAACCTATCAACAATTAAATAAATAAGAGATACACATAACACAGCGTGTATAAGTTAAGGCGTCCACAACAGGTTGACTTGGGGGAGAGGGCGGGGTCTACGTAAATGCCTAATAACGTCAGGAAAGAACTTGAATCTTAATAAAGTGCGGGTCCCCATTTATTTCAAACGATATTTAGCCTATTCCTCTCTCCACCTCCCACCCGTTATTTTGCCTATCTTAGACGTGTGTTTTGACACTTTGCAGAATTCCCACCAACACCACCCCATGATAAATCGCAGCCCTCCATTCACCCCCAAACCCTACAAACGCATATATCTGCACCCCAGTTTGAAGCCATTAGAATTCCTTTCCAGCAATACCATTTGGGTTATGACATTTCCAGTATAAAACGTTGCCAGCTTATATATATATATATGATAAATGATAAATCGTAGCCCTCCATTCACCCCCAAATCCTACAAACGCATATATCTGCACCCCAGTTTGAAGCCATTAGAATTCCTTTCCAGCAATACCATTTGGGTTATGACATTTCCAGTATAAAACATATATATAATACCCCCTTGGGCTTTTTTTGTTGGTTGGATGGGATTCCTCACCTCCCCCACCCCACATGCGGCAGATCATATGGAGTGGAGTGGCTGCGTGGGGCAGCAACCCGAGTTTCCTGAAAACAGAAAGTTATAAACGGCTTTTTCATTAGTCATGGAGCCATAGCAGTAAGACCACAAACAAATCAGGACTTGCACTTTTTCTCCCTTGCAGCCAAGAATATTGCAGGCCGAACCGCAGAAGCGGTGCTTATGTGACAAGACGCAGGGGGGCGGATGTTTTTCGAAGGATGCAGGGCAAAAGCAAGACAAAATGCAGAAAGGGAGAAACCCCCGATTGTTATTATTGCTAATTATTGACAATAAGAATTATTTCTATGGAAGGTAAATTTCTCCAACTCTTCCCTTTCTGCGTATTTTAAAATTATTATTTTTTCGTCAACCACTTTAGTATAAAGTTTAAGTAATATCATGACATAAACTGGGTGAAAACTCTGGGCGAAACTAGCAGTCCGAAAGTTAAGATTATCAAGAGGTGATTACTGTAACAGAAAGGACGACTCAAAACAATGCAAACGCATCGGTCAGGCGCATTTGACTCCTGACATTTACGCGCCACAAATACTGCTTTTTTCTTTTCTTTTCTGTCTTCTTCTCATTATCATCATCCTCATTATTATTATTTAGTTATTTACGGGCAGAGGGAACATTTGATTAAGAAGGTTATTCTGTAGGAGCAGGAATAACTGGAGTGCAAGCGCTCTAAATAAATAATTACAAGGCAAGAAGCTCTAGCCTGCAATAACTGTCAAGTCTAAAAAGGCCGAGATAACATATATAAGGTGAGATCAGCTGAAATTAGATATCCAGTTAAAGGTACCACGTGGATTTAAGTACAACACCTTAAAAATACGTGTTTATTGCGCGCAAAATCACTGGCCTCGTTGTCTGCTTATGTCGTTTTGCTTATCTCTCTTTCTTCTGTTTTCCATACTGCTCCATACACAAATACTTTTAAAAACAAAACAAAGGTAAAAGCAAATCGCCAAGTGTGGCTGTCTTACTTTTGAAATGCATGCGTTGCACGAGAAACACATACGCTCCATCTACACAGATCCAAGACCAATTTGCCTCTTCATCCTATAAATGGTACACAAATGAGGACATAGCTGTAGAGTCTGGAAGTCTACACATAGATATAACTACACGTTATAAACAAGCCCGCGCGTGTTTGCTGAGCGGTGTGTGTTTAGGAGGGGGGGGGGAGTTCTTATCAATCTATCAGGGAATAATAAACTATTCCAGACAAGAGTGCAAGCTAATCCAACACATGAACAGTAAACAAACGTATTTGACCCAGGGCAACTTTGGTTGCATATTTAAAGCTAACCAGACACAACCTGCATTTATGAATAAGCAGTTTTCTACACCTAGGCAACAGACTGGGTGAGAATTTGTGAAGCGCTCTCTCCCCCCCCCCTTCTTCCACTTGCATTAACGGTCTCAGATGAAAACCCTTGCCATTAACGCCCAAGAAAAATCCACTCTCCTCTCGAAACAAACAAACAAATGAGTAAACAAACGCTTCCGAATTTGCATTCCGAATCACACGACAGGATCAGAATCTGACAACATTTTACTTGGACTGCAAGAGAGAGGGGAGCCAACGATAGCTCTTGTTTCCTTTCCACAATTAGTGGGGATGGAAAACACATGTGTGGAGTGTGCATTTTTGAAGCTCTCCTCTAAATCAGTTCATCAATTCGCTAATTAAAACGGAGAGAGAGAATGAGAGAGAGGGAGTGTGTTCTAACGAAGCATATTTTTCTTCTTTAACCTCGGTGTGGGGGTAAAATCCGGGGGTAAAAACACAAAAAAAAGAAAACAGCCTTATGAGCGAATGGATGTTATTGCAGCTTTCTGTGAGCTCTTTAACTCCAGGGGGCGGGGAGGGGGGGGAAGAGACCCCAACTGCTATACAAGAACTACTCCAGGACCTGCGCATATTTTCACTGCTGTGTAGCAGTTTTAATAAAACATCTGTTCTTGCTTCTGCTGATGAGTTTACATAATTGTTTGCAGACCAATTTAACCAGAAAAAGTCCTACACATTTCCCTGTGTTGTTTTCTTTTTTGTAAAGGGGGGAGGGGGAGGGAAGAGTCGTCTCCTTTGATCAAACACATTATAAGAACCTTAATAATAACTTCTCCCCATATATATATGTATATGTAACACTAAAATATTAGGAATGTAACTACTAGAACGCTGAGTCTAGTATATATACAAATTTTCCAGCGTCTTCTTTCTCCCCATCCAACCAACACTTAAGAAAGGTTCTATGTTGGGTTTCTTCGCGCCAGCTGTTTTCTCTTCCCTATAATTCGACCAGACTTCTAGGTCTTCTCTTCTGTTTAGAAAAGTAATAAAACACTTCACTTTCTACACTCGAAATCACTTGGTACTCACCAGATCCCTCCAAAAGAGCTCTCTAGGACTTCTGCACGCCACCCCTCCAAACCCCAGCCCCTTTGCATTTGCAACCATCCCAGAAATTTTAAGGGTCTGAGATAAGGATTATTATAACACTAGAACAATGAATATACTTTTGGTGAATCGAACCTACCAAGAAAGACGGTCTTCTTCTCTTTCTCATTCCCACACACCTTGAAGTTCTATTACTTTTAATGTAGTCTTAATCTACCACTGAAGTATTTTTTAAGATACTATCCAATCTAAACACAAACACACGAGGGGGGGGAGGAGTCTCTCTGTGTTTGTGTGTATTATCTAACTCCCATTAAAGGAGAAAGGAAAATATCTACCTTCGATCAGTTCAGATTGATTGTGCATGGAAACCTACACACACACACACACACACACACACACACACACACAGAATGACTTTGAAAACTAGTGATATTAATTGCTTGCAGTTACCATGAGCTTCACTGAGCTTTGCTTGTCTGCCTGTCTCTGTTTATCTACTGACCTACCAACCTACCTACACGTACAGACACATTGGTTGCATTGTTATGTATATCTCTAAGTGTGTGTGTACTGGGGTAATGTTTGGGCCCTTTTCTTCCCTCTCCCATTCTCCTAGTGATTGTATCTCTCTGCCTATGGGTTATCCGGTATAATGTGCTAAATAGCTGGGAAGCCTCAGGAAAGCAAATACTATTTTCAAAATCGGCATGCTGGTAAATTTGTCATGTGTACCAGCCTTAAATGTGTACACGTTGGGATGAGAACTGCTGCAGGATGGAAACGCCATGTCCATTTAATAGGGAGGGATGCAGGCTATAAGCTTAATAACAAGCTACACACTCTTGCTTTCTTTTTATGCACCCTGATTTATTTTTTTAAGAAACTTTATTTTTTTCATACTGACACTCAAGGAACGCTTAACGCTATACAAGATGAATACTTCAGCCCTCTTTTTGTCGGTTGCAGTCTCGTTTATGGTTTTATTACTACCATTGATTACTTTGCTTTGTTGCACAGAGGAAAAAGATCATAAAATCCTTTGGCATCCGGGTTCCACTTAGAGCAGGGGTGTGTGTGTGTAGGGGGGGGTATGTGGTCCCCTTCTTTCTCAACTAAAACCTTCATCCAAAAGAGGAATGTTAGAAGTATTGATTCATTACGACCAAACACAATGAGAAATATTCCAAGCTTTCCAGAAAATCGACTGGTTCTACCTTTAAAATCACTAAACAAAAGCTTCCTAACATGCCCATGGAAATAAGGCCAGTGTTTCTTAGTCCTAATTGAATTTTTAAATAGCAAGCCAATGGAATGATGTAGGAGTCTTGCTATATTTACAGATCAGCAGGTATATTTTACTTTTAAGGAACAATTTATGGCACTGGATTGAAATTAAAATTAGATTAGCTGTCTTCATTTCAATTAGTGTGTCGGTGCAAATCCACCAGAGGAGTAGAATGTAATCCACTCTCTAATCTAACTAAATATTTCAAGGGAAGTTTTCCAATCAGCTACAAATATCTGGAGTCGTAAATTTTTTTCTTCCTTTCTCTACCTCTTTCTGTTTTTGCAAACGTAAACACGAGGGGCTCTTTCTAGCAAACACCATTCCAAATGCAAAGGTAATGCTTTGGGGGGATGTTGATATTGCAAATGTAAACATTGCCATAGCAGTCTCCAGCTCTGAAAAATGACAAAGCAAATATTCAATAGAGAAACATACAAATGTGCTGCTGCTGCTTCTTTTTAATTCTAACCTGGACTCTGAATTTTGATTATATATATATATATATATATATAGCAACAACCCACCATCCTGGAAAGTTCTTCAAATTCCAGAGTACAGGAATGCTCTAAAAGATACAGTATCTGCCCAGCTGTCACCTGGTCTCCTCTCCTTGCTTGCAAGATTGTATTATAAAGAGCACAAGCACTTGATTCCACATTTATTGACCAACAGTAAATTAGTGGAGGAAAAGAAAATTTATGGTTTAATATTTTATGCACACTTGAGATTTATGGCTATAATTTCTGAGCTATTTGGTTGCTAGGTATTAAGGAAGCATTTTCAACAGAATAAATATCCTGATTCCTGATCTCCATAACCATTTGCCTTTTCTTTTCTTTTAAAAAAATCACCTAAAGCTCTATTTGGGTTGTGAAATTAAAAGAAGAAGTCTTTCTTTCTTTCTTTCTTTCTTTCTTTCTTTCTTTCTTTCTTTCTTTCTTTCTTTCTTTCTGTGCCCCTCCCTCTTCATCCCTCTCCCACTCCCTCCCCCGAACCATACTTACTATTTCCCCCCTCTTCTTCCAAACCATCTTATATTTAGAATTTCGAGACTTACTTTCAATGCATACTTAGTTTCAACTGGGGAATCAACACAAGCAAAAGCAATTTTTCCGTGTCTTGACATCTAGCTTCCTATTGGCTCACAACGGGTCAGCTGACTTTGTCATTTTGTCTGTCCTGGAGTGGAGCCGTCCCTATAACAATCTAGTTCAGACTACAAACTGGAGACAGAAATAAATATTAAAGAAATCATACAAGCCAGGTATAGGGGGGAAGATATGAATTCCTATTTCACAAACCCGTCGTTGTCTTGCCACCTCACCAGTGGTCAAGAGGTCCTGCCCAACGTGGCGATCAATTCCTCTGCTTATGACCCTGTAAGGCATTTTTCAACTTATGGAGCAGCGGTTGCTCAAAACAGGATCTATTCATCTCCTTTTTATTCACCGCAAGATAATGTTGTGTTTAGCTCCAGTCGGGGACCATATGATTACGGATCTAATGCCTTTTATCAAGAAAAAGACATGCTCTCTAGCTGCAGGCAAAATTCTATGGGACACAATACACAAACTTCCATTGCACAGGATTTTACAAGTGACCAAAACAGGAGCACATCCCAGGAACAGAAAACTAGCATTCAAATATACCCGTGGATGCAGCGCATGAACTCCCACAGTGGTAAGTTTTACAGCTTGCAGAGATAAATTAAATAAACTGAACCATCTTTACGACCGTCTCCCTAGCAGAACAGGCTCAGCTACTTTTTATGGCCCCATAAAAACAATAATATAGCTTCCTCACAGTTGCCGCTACAGGCCTTTTATTTGTTAAGTTGTTGCAAGCGAATATGGCTTGTTATGCTCTTTCTAATTAAAAGACTTCGAGAGTGTAAAATATCTATAATAAAGTGCAATCAGCTCTGATTTTTTTTCCCTTGGAGGGGGTGGTGGAAATAAGGTGTAGAATAGAAGTGATGTGTTTTGATTTTTTTTTTAAAATGTATTTTCCCTGATAGGTGAGATAGGGCATTTTTATTAAGGCAAAAAAATTGCAAAGTGTCTTGTCCAATAACAGGTCCAATAACAGCTGGGGGATTTATGAAGTAGCTTGACTTCATAATATATGGAAGGAGTGTCTATTCCTAGTAATTAAAGCAGCACTGGAGTAAAATCTAATTGGATTTTTTTTTCCAAGTTTGCAGAAATAATTAAAACAACACATTCTGAATCTTTGCAAATAAGATAGGAACATGCTTTCAATTAGACACCCAACCCCAATCCTCCATGTGTGCTGCATGATTTTAATGGGTAGTAAGACTAAGGCACAGAATTAAATTGTGCAGTGGGTTGGGGGGGCGAGTTGGTCGGTGGATGACAATGAAGACTGAGTGTGGAGGGTGGGGTTGGGGAAAGCCTGGCTGACGGGTCTTGGTTGTGTGCCTGTTTTCTTTTATTTACGCATTTTATTTTCAAATCTGTTAACTAATCGTTTTTAGTTTGTTTCGTTTCCGAATCCATAGGGGTCGGCTATGGAGCAGATCGGAGGAGGGGGCGTCAGATCTACTCGCGTTACCAGACCCTGGAGCTGGAGAAGGAGTTCCATTTCAATCGCTACTTGACGCGGCGAAGGAGGATTGAGATCGCCAACGCTCTTTGCCTAACTGAACGCCAGATCAAGATCTGGTTTCAAAACAGAAGGATGAAATGGAAAAAAGAGAGCAACTTGAGTTCCACCCTGTCTGGGGGAGGTGGCGCTGGAGCAGCTGCAGATAGCTTGGGCGCAAAGGAGGAGAAAAGGGAAGAAACAGAAGAGGAGAAACCAAAGGATTGAAAACACTGACGGTGCTGCCAGATCCCTCTCCCTTCCCCAACACACACACACACATTCGCACCCGGTCCCTCTTCCTCTTCCTTTCTCGGTCTCTTCGTCTCTCGCCCCCCACTCCCAGTTTCTCCTTTCCATTCTCTATTACCACTGGCACAATCTATACATTTGGTTGTATGAGAGAGAGAGAGAGAGAGAGAGAGCGAGAGAGAGAGAGAGAGAGAGAGAGATGTGGACGTGGGAGACCTCCCCTCCCCCATCTCCTCCATCTCTCCAGCAGTGATGCACCCACTTTCATAACTTTCTTCCTAAGGAGCTCATCAAGACCCCCCTCCAACCTCACCAACCCCCCCCCTCCGCCTTTGCATCCGAGCCCAGCTATCTACCTTTGCATAAAGACTGTATTTAATGCAAACCCCTCCACCACTACCACCACCACCCGCCATTCCTTCTCCACTTCCCTAGACAGAATAGTTTTGCTTGCAAAAAGGCAGGTCCCCCTGTAGGGGCTGCTTTGGGTTGCGTTGAGATCAACCATGTCAAAAAGGCACTCTATGCAGTTTCGCTTCCAAAACGATGATAATTATTGTGGTGGTGGCGGTGATGTAAGTGGGGGGGGGGATTGAATTGCCTACCCCTGTTAAAATATTTCCTTCCATGCCCACCTTCTCCCACGCCTCCAAGCTATGTCTACCTAAATATAGCATTTTCCAGAGTAAACTAATTGTATTTAAACACTACCTGAGGTCATTATGCATTCTACAAACTGTGACAGTTTCTGTGTGAATATTTTTAGCTGTATTTGTGGTCTCTGTATTTATATTTATGTTTAGTACTGTAATGTTCAAGCAGTATAAACGTGAATGGAATTCTATAGCAAGTAGGAGGAAATAAATAAATAAATCTTGTGTTACACTCTCTAACATCATGTATAAAGGTCACGTCCAGAGGACTATGGTTGAGTATTTAATAAAAACTGGATATTATTTTTAAAAGTTACTTGGATGGTTTCTGAAATTCAATTGGGGGGGGGGAGATCTCAGGTGAAAGAGTTTTGCATCAGCCACCACGGGTTCCGTGCGTGAGAATGCTCCATTTTTAGATGCCAGTATTCGTGATCGCCTGTCAACACGACTATCGGCATATTTAGTCGGAAGTAAACAGGATGGTGGGCGGATATAATTTACTTCCAGTTAGGTATCCTTAAGTATATATATAAATATATATATAATGAATATCTATATCCTATCTTGCTGCGTTTCATTTCGCGCTTTCATCCCCTGAAAACTGCATGAAACACCAACTCTCAGAGTGTTAAAAGCTCAGACAGATTTTATTCCCTAATTCTCGAGGCCAAATAATTGCTTAAAAACAAATGCATTTATTTATTTATTCTTTAAATTAAAGCTACCAATGGAAACTAGACTCCCAGGGCACCCCTCTCTAGATATATTTATTTCGAGGTAACAGAGTAGTGGGCAGAAATATTTTGATGTTTTATTGCAGACGCTTAGAAGGCGCAAAGGCGCGACTGACAATAGCCTAGTTTGCAGTGAGCACATCAACATTACATTGTGGCTTAGGCTCAGGAATTGCCCTCTCCTTTTATGTTTAGCTCAGAGGCATCTTTTCAACCAGGTACAAACGTTCGAGAAAGTAATCCTGTCTTCTGGAGGCATTCACTGCCTTGGGAACCTTTGCTACTCTTTGAACATTTTGCACTAAACTACCAGGTTCCGGTTAAACAAAAGAAAATACCAGGAAACCCCCAACAAGACGATTTCTTACCCCCGCTTGTCCATAAAATTTGGAAGGCTTTAAGAACATCTCTCTTTAGATATGCCACAAAAGCCTAGCACATGTAGTAAGTAGAGAGATCATATAAATTTCAAATGCAAATATATGCAACATAGAGGACGGGAATGCAGGTAACAATATTTAAGAGATTTGCTCCCGCATTTCCAAATGTCCCTCTGCCATAATTGAGCTAAACATTAAAATAAGTACCAAACGTAAGCGAAGGACTTTTAAAAGGGCCACTGAAATTAAAAAGTTATGTTTTATGTTAAAGCTGCCCCCCCCAAAAAAAGACCACGTAAAAAGATGAAATAATATATTTATAACTCACATAGGTATTCCAATGTTATTTATTTTATCCTATTCTTTAAAAAAGTTTAATAAGTGGGAAGGAAAATCTTCTCTGTTTCCAACTGTTTCGCTAAACACCCCGGCGGAAGGGAATATATTTCTCATGCGAAACCGGCAGATCCAACCTCATGTTTGCAAGCAGGGATTTGCAGTGAGGAAGGGGAGCCTTGGCACATACCTTCACCTGCCTGATATCCCCTTTTCCAAGCTTTTTAAAGAGGGTTCTCACGTGCCCACAGACATACAGACACCAAAAAACAAGGTGAATGTTTATTCATTCGCCCAAGGTAAAAAACTGATTTATGGGGAGGCTGCGTTGATTCATAACCTCCAGTGAACACACACACACACACACCAACTCCCAAAGATACTGCACTCCACATATACAGAGAGATATACAAAGAACAGAAGATTAACACAACGTAGGTTTCAATCTGCTGCACGCGCCTAGTCATAAATGCAGTTCCATGCGACCAGTTATATATGCATCCATGTCAACAACGCAATGTATGCATGTGCATAAAGCATAAAGCGTACAGAGCACACTGACTTTACTTCCTGCAGCATATCCCACTTACACCTACATATGTATTCTCTGGTGTACCGAGTAACGCTAACCAAGGGAATTCGAATCCAGGACTTTGTCTCCCTGGTTGCGCTGAGTGCAAACGCAATCTCGATTGCATTAATTGAGAATATGCGTCTGTTTACACTGAATCAAGCGAACAGGCTCATATAAGGCTGCTGCGCGGGCGCGCGCACACATGTGCATACAACGCGGAATATCCGGCCTACACAGAAGGAAATGTTTTTACACGAGGACGCGTCCCAAGGCCATATTTTACACCACCCCACATCAAGGGCTGAAAATTTCCTATGAATCGCTGTGGACGGGAAATTAGCTCTTGTCTTCCATCCCAACGAAGGCTTAGGGGCTGTTTGTGCGCGTTGTTTCACACCCATAAGCCTCGAGCGTTAGGGAAGGGTAGTATTTTATGAGACGTCATACCCCAGACCCAGCACCAGGTGACGCTATAGTCTCATTGTCTCAGTGTTTTGAGTGTGGGGCCTTTTTTTTTTTTTTTTGTTTCGTTATGCCAACATATCACATACGTTTCTCGGGCTTCCATCAATAACCTCCTGGGGTCATCAAGCCAAATTTATGACTGGCCAACACCGTCACGTGATTCTATTTAAACATCCCATATTTGGGCAGCGCACATAGAATAAAGAAAAGAAGAATCTCCACCTATAAATTCTGCACTTTAGAGAACAAAAAACCCTGAACTTCAAAAGGGCCACAAATCAAGCCTAATCAAAGGGGTGTGAGAGGGAGAGAGAGAAAGAGAGAGAGCGAGAGTGGGGAGGGAAAAAAAATATAATTCCTGACATGAGTTCCTACGTAGCCAATTCGTTCTATAAGCAAAATCAAAATGTTCCTGCCTATTCCATGCAAAGTTATGGGAATTATGGATCTGTGTCTGAGGTTCAGCCTTCCAGGTATTGCTACAGTGGGCTGGATCTGAGCATTACATTCCCTTCATCTGGGGCTTCCAACTCTCTGAACGGTGTGGACATGTCTTCAAGCCCTAGACCTAACCCCGACCGACCTTCCTGTACAGTCATGGGATCCGCAGGGCACACTTTAGGCAGAGACGACCAGACCTCTCTAAACCCAGGAATTTACAGTCAGAAAGCTTGTGGCACCACCACAGCCACCACCAGCAGCAGCAACAACAGTACGCCGTTGGAAGATAGATCTAAGAGCAGTGGGGAAATCAAGAGTGAACCGGTGCAAACAGCTCAGCAAAGCGGGCAGTCCATGCACCAACAACAGCAGCACCACCAGCAACAGCAGCAGCAGCAGCAGCAGCCACCACAAATTTATCCGTGGATGACCAAACTACACATGAGCCACGGTAAACTTTCGCTTCTCGATTTTGTTTCACAGGATTTGCCTTGGTTTTATAGGCCATACGGGGCAAATAATAAGGGGGGAAAAACCTGGGGTCGTAAATTTTACGACTAAGGCATCAATTGCTCGTAAAACTGTCCACTAAAAGGCTTAGAGGCGATATACGCCCAAATTTATGACGGCATAATTGGATCATAGAAACAAAACGGGTATAAAGGCAATATTCCATTTTTTTGTTGGGGGGGAAAGAAGGAAAGAATTTTTTTAAGGGGGAGAAATAACTTGGAAAGGCTCGCGTTCTTGAAGAGGAAGGAGAGAGGGGCTTGGGAGTTTTTTCAGACCTTACCACATCATTCCATAAAGTCAGAAGTTTTGCCTCTTTCCTAACCTAGGGAAATGGGCGACTTGATCTATTCCCCCCCCCCTTCTTATAGATACACTTCTTCGTGGTTTAAAGGGAGAACACTTCATTAGGGACTAACCTTAGCTTGAACCCAAAACTTGAATGAGAAAGTGTTGGAAAATACCCCTCCTCTATTAAATATATTAAAAATGTATTCTGGGTAGAACTAAGAAATCTCTCTCTCTCCCCCCCTTTTAATACCTTTTGCTTTCCTACTTTTTTCTTCTTCTAGTATTATTATTATTATTATTATTATTATTATTATTATTATTATTATTTTAGCGGGTTTTTTTATCCGATGTCTTTTGTCTTCCAGAAGCAGATGGCAAACGTTCCAGAACCAGCTACACTCGCTACCAAACTCTGGAACTAGAGAAAGAATTTCATTTTAACAGATATCTCACCCGCCGGAGGCGCATAGAGATCGCCAACAACCTATGTTTGAATGAGAGGCAAATCAAAATATGGTTTCAAAACCGGAGGATGAAGTGGAAGAAAGATTCCAAATTGAAAAGCAAAGAGTCTCTCTAGGTAGAAATCCGGGCCAGGGGTTGGGCGGGGAGAGTCAGTTCACATTGACAAGAGTTGCTGTTTTTGTTGTAGCCTACCTTGAGAAAAGTTTTCTTTGGGAGGTGGGGAGAGGAAAAGGGCGGGTGGGGGGGGGGAAGGGTCGCAGACTGGACTGAACTACATACTCTAACAAATCTATCAGACAAAGGCGTTCTCTTATTAGTATGCAAACAGACCCTTTAGCTTTTCAGCTAGAATTCAGTGTACAGCTCGCTGGAGGGTTGGTGGGCTTTGTTTTGTTTTCCACCACACCACTCTAACCTGTGTCCCCTTAAATTGGGAGGAAATATGTCGGTCAAATGAAAACCAAGCCAATGGGCGACATTTGAGAGGCCCTTTTATCTATAACCTATATCTCGGTCTATAAAAGATTACGCTGAAGATCAGAATAATACGCTTAGGAAACCCAAGTCCAAGTTATGCATAAAAGAGGGGCTCCTCAGGACTTTTGGAAAGTCCCCAGGCCCCGATCCTTAAACGTCAGGCTTGGAAGTAAATCCCGTTGTGAAAGGCGTGGGAGTTTACCTCTGTGTCCAACGCGGTGGACGGGCGACAAACCTGTTGTGAGCACTTATTTCTCAACCAGTCCCACTGAGCGTGGGGGGACTTCCTTCCGAGTAAACGTGCATAGGATCGGGCTGCACGATCTAGGTGTGTGAGAATGTTTACTTCTGGTGTGGATGGTGAGTTTCCACACAATGTAGTTCCCTAGATGCACTTAACCTGAAACGTGGGAGGTGGGGTGGGGGGTGATTTGTTATTGTGTTTTGTTTTGGGGTTTTTTTAAAAAAATATGCTCGCTGTGAGGTGTGTCCTTCTGGGGTGGGGTTGTTTCATTTTATTATTCAACCCCCCTCCTCTCCGTTGACTTATTTTTGTATTATTTGCATATGAATGAAAAGTGAATGGACTATGAGCAAATCTGCTTGAGCATCTCTCCTTGGAGATATTTGTGCAAAAACATTAAAGCACTCTTGGGGTGAGGGCTGGTAAGTGTGTGTGTGCGTGTGTGAATTCTCCCGACTTAAATATTCCTGTGTATTTATTGGTTGCGTAATTAATGTAGCTTTGCAAAATAATAATAACGATAAGAACAACGCTGAACTCTTATACAAATGTATACTTTTTGTTTACATGTAGCCCTTTTTATTCACCTCCCCCTTCCTTCTCCCCGATGTTGTATTCCATATATTTATTGGTTGTAATATCATATGTGAAAGGCCATGGAACATATACAGTATATTTTGTCATATTGAATAAATGCTAAAATAATAAATAAATCAACACCTAAGGCCAATTTTGGAGTGCGGGAGAAAAACGTATATGAGGTGCCTTTGCTTGAGCGCTGTCTCCAAACCCGCACCTCCACTGTTATTTTGCTGTCAATTGTTTTCAAATATATAAATATGTAAAGCGAGAACAAATCCCCGTCAGTCTGAGGCACGAGCCATCCGAAGTTCAGCACTTGTGAAGTCGTATTGATTTCAGTGGGAGAGTTTAGCACAAACCTCTTGCAATGAAATCGATGGGACTTTCCAAGCGCTAAACTTTGGATGGAACAAGCCTCTGGACTGAAGCTCAGAATCCCATTCAACGCAATGAGATTTACTTCAAACGCAAGTTGGAAGTAAGCCCCATTGAGGCGGGGGAACAATTTCAAGCAAGGGTTGCAGTGGAAATCGGTCAAACCCTAGTGTTTAACTTCGGGTGGGCTATGGGTTGGGCTTTTATGTATCTTATGTCGCCCCTGCTGCGTCCCCAATAAAAGAACTTTGGGTGATGTGTACTCAGTTGCAGGTCTCGTCACAAGCTTTCTGGAGTGAATGCCTCTTTTTTGAACTGTTGAACAACTCTTGACCTGTCCTAGTGTTTGAACAACATAGTTCTGGGTTCTTCAAAAGTCCTCCAAAGGTCTTCGTGCGATCGCTTTGTTTCTTTCCCTGATAATTCCTTCCTTCAGTTTACAATAATCTAAAAGTCCAGATGCAGGCAAGACTACCTTTCTAAATAAGATTGCCTTTTTAACCCTGTAGAACAGAATTACCGGGCTAGGCTCTCGGCCCCTCCCTTCAGACAACTTTCCATCGACATTAAGTGAAAGTTGTGCAAGAACTGGGCGATTTGTGAAGGCAGTAGGTCTTTCTGAGACGCTGTGTGTATGTGTGATCACTAGAACAAGTACGATTGAGTTGGGCAGAGAATGGCAGGATTTAACCCTGGGCTGCGCAAAACTTCAACGTGCGGTTTATAAAGCACGATATTTGCGAAAGTTTCTCTGGTTTAGGTGCAATATAAGAAAGCTAATAGTCCTCTACTCCTTTTGAAACCTGTAATCTCTTTCTATGCGTTTAAAGATGACTTCTATGCCTATCTATGACGTCGTCTTCTTCGTCCTCTTCTTCATATAGTAGTGTTATTGGATTCAGTAATGTAGGAGTTTGGGGCTATGAATGTACAGGCCTGTGGAAATTTGGGAGGGATAAAACTGTGCATGTATATTTCACGTATGTGTGTGTTCCACCAGACACACACCAACTATCTCTCACACAGTCACACACACCGGAGGTCATGCCTGAGGTGTTTTCGGAGCTATTTACAGTACAAACGCTTGGGAGAGACCCTCAATGGCTCAATAAACCTTTATAGTATTTCCTTTACACATTTCAAACAATGGAGCCATTTCCTGAACCTGAAAACAAAAGTTTATTTTAATGACAGTGGAAGCTCTTAAGGATAAAACTGGCTTTACCTCCTAAGATTCCCAGCTTTTCATGGAGTCCCTCTGACTTAAATAGCGCTCTATTTCTGAAGTTTATTGATATTTTATTATTGTAGTTATTATTTAGTGTCCTCTTTGAGAAGATCAAATAATACTGTCGCGAAGGCGATGACAATTTATGTTATGGCAATTTTACAGTCCACTTGAAAGTTTCCTTTCCCTTCCCTTTCCAGGCTTAACTTGTCATATGATTTGATTTTACGCAAATATCAGTCAAATGGAGATCAAAGCACTGGGCTTTACACTATTCCATTTGTGTTTGATCCAAGAGGAGCCTTCCTTATTGTCTTGTGTTTGCAAATAATGTGTGCCTTCCCAGGAGTATCAGCAGCAGCAAAAACAACAACAACAACAAATATTGGAACATTCTCTGAGCATTTAAATGTATATATGTCATCTTGATGTTTGAAAATAATAAGCTACCCTGTGTAAATCTATGGAGTGTTTATTGAGGCACCGAAACAGACTTGGCAGATCTTGACAGCTGTGCACTGAAACCAAAGGTGGTTGTTTTTACATCTGTTTCGTTCTATTTGGTCTTCTCTGCTCACCCCACTCCTAAACCGTGGTGTTTCCTTTCCCTTTAATCGGAAGTCTGCCAGGGAATAATTGGGTTTGACAGGTTAGAATTAACAAAATCAGATGTTCTATTGTTTTATCTTAAGGCGGGGGGAGAGAAGCCTTTACGCACATAGCCGTCCAAAACTTTTCCATTATCATAACGCAAGCCAGTCGGTTATATATACAGCCATATATATATATACAGCCTTGTGAATAATTGTGCGTTTATCCAGCGAACAACGTGGGTCTATTTGGGCCTCTTCCCTGTCTTTTTAAAAAGTAATTTTTCAGGACTGATTAATATTTGGTTGTTGGGCTTGTCATTGACTTTTGCTATTCAATATCTAACAGCCCCCCTCCTTTTCCTCTTTCTCCTGCTTTCAGTCCGTTCCTAAAGAAGTCTTGCAAAGCCAAGAAGGAAATGAAACATCGCTTACCTTTCACTGTCATCCGTGTCAACACAGTGGGGACTTTTAAAAGGCCTCCAAACAAGAAAGGGAGGGCGAGGGAAGGGGAAAAAAATGACAGACCCAAAGTTCCAGTGCGTGTGTGCGTGTGTGTGCTTTAAAAGAGAGGATGAAAAATAATAACAATAGTAATAATAATCCAGGACTTTTTGAGCCAAGACTTTGACTATCCCTGAGAACATTAGCAGAAATACCCATGGCTTCTAAGTGAATTTAGTAGTTTAAAACTTTTGAAGGTTATTTATGTGGATAGCCCAAAGCAAAAGCCCTGAATGGCTCTCGGTGAGCACGTGATGTCATTAAACTAAGTTTTATGGTTTGGGGGAGCTGACATACCCACAATATATTTACATCATATATAATCTTAACTGTCCACCATCGCAGCTGCTGGAGCTGTTTAATGCTGGGACAGTGGGACAAGGCAGTTAGTGCGGATTACGACGTCTTGGGCTGCTGTTAGGGAAGGCACATCTTCCCAAATGGATCCCTGGCGAGATCAGTAAGTTAATTTCTTTCCCCCGCTTTTTTTTTTTTTTTTTTGCGCGCTCCTCTCCCCACGCCATCCCCTCCCAGCTTCTAACATGGTATCCAGCTTTCTTGTGGAGGTGCGGGGTGGGGGGGTGGGGGGAGAGGAATTCAGTTGCACCTTGGCTACGAAGTTGGGGGAGGGGTGAAAGTGTGGAGCGTAAGGCTTTTTCCTCCAGGGTGATGGAGGTGACGGTGTGGCGAAGCTTTCTGGAGCGCACGTCGAGAGTGGCGGTTATCAAAAAGCAAGATCAGACCTTTGTTCCCCTTCCTGACTTCCTCGGGGCTTGTGGAAAATGAGATAAGGACCCAAACCTTCTTCTACTTAGTTAGGCAGAGGTTGATTCATTCCCTTCTTCTCCCACCCGCTTTCTACACCTCTCTGAAGACGCTCGAGATCTGATGGGGTGGTGGGAGTTCCCCCCTCTGAACAGAAACTTTCGGTCAAAATGTTTGGACTGCTTCTTGCAGCTGGGTTGAGAGATACACTTAAATGTCCCCGGGTGCAATACTTGCTTAATGGGTAGAAGAAAAAAGAAGTTTGTGTGGTGGTGGCGGCGGGGTAAAGTGCATGCGCGCTGGAGACGTTGGCTGCTCTGTACGCATCGCGGGTGTTGGCAGGTGGAGTGGAAGAAGGTTGAAGCTAGGCCGGAAAGTCTGGCCAGATCTTTGTCCTAGGGAGAAATGAAGGGAGGGGAAGGAAGAGAACGCTGGAGTAGACCGTGAGAGGAGTGTGTATACGGGTGTGTGAGAAATATATGTCCCATCAGCGTTGCATAAGTCCGTGTATACATTATTTGTACGTGTGTGCGTGTGAGTCTCATTAACGTAACTGCCACTACGATTCAAGGGACAGCTTTTTCTATCCAGTGAATCTTTTTTTCCCCTGGTGGTGAACTGGATGATCCGGTTGAAATTTGGCCTCAGTGGCCTTAGGCAAGGCACTAGATCTACCAGTCCACCTGCAGTCTGGGGATAAGAGCAGCGATGCTGGAATAGCAGTGACGTGGAGCTCCTTGCATGCTCAAAAAGCGCTGTGCAAATGCTGTTATAATCATTCGATATATCCTTGCACTGTCCTCAGTTTAACCCCGAAGATGTTCTTTCTCAGTTCCGTTGTTGCATTGATGGAATTCACTTATAATGGCAGGCTGGTGCCTAGGAAAGATTATCAGTTAAGTTTCCTCGGAGTGCCACATAGCTTTGGGAGCTTCTCCATAATTCCATACTGATAGGCCAAATCTTGCTTGGATGGTGTCTTCCTGCATGGACTTTCTGGGAAGTTCCTGGTTTATTTTGATAGCTACTGGTCTGGCAATCAGTCGCAATTTACCTAGGCCAGAGAGAGAGGGGGGGAACGCAAATGTACTGCTCCTGTCTTACCCTTACCAATTTGGCGATGTAGGTCTGGAGCAGATCTTTGTGATCTGCTTCCAAACTGTGTTTAAAACTCAGGTGCAACTGACACATTGCTGTCATGCCCAATGAGCAGAGAAACTATCGTTGGGATATCATCCAACCCATCCTTAACACAGTTCCCGATCCTCAGCCCCAACTAACAACAGCACTGAAGTTAATGGCAAAAAGGAGTTACATTGTGGCTTTTAAAAAGTTTCTTTGGCTGGTTGGTTCGTGACATTGTGGCCCAGTTATCCAAGCAACTCCACACCAGACAGAAAGCATCCTGTATTTTGTGCCAGTAGCCTCGCTTGGTTTCCTAAGGGTTGGTGCTGGTGACAGTCATCAGCAAAAGTTGAACTGGGAAGCTGACTAGGGTGTTCAATGGGATGATAGGAAGGTCACAGAGGGGAGAGGAAAGCAGAATTTTGTAAGCCTCACAGAAAGCTTGAACACAAGCTACCCAAAAGGACGTCGGCACAATCCACTTAGGCAGTGTAGCGGATAGACAGACCTTCATAAATCGGATAGACAGACCTTCATAAATGTCAACCACTCCGAGGTTCTCAGTAGAACTATTGAAGGACATTCTTCGCCTTCCAACAACATCTTCAGGACAATGAAGAAAGTCTCTTCTGAACACATGGGAATGAAAAAAGAAAGCACACCCTTTTCTTCATTTCCCTGTACAAACAACGGAACGATGTCCCCTTTTCCCCATTTAGAAAAAAATGCCATTTCTAGAATATCTCCCTCTCCTCCCCTTTCTATCTTCCATCTTTCTCTAGGAAAGTGGGAAAATCAAATTTCACTCAGGAAGGTCCCCAATAGGATGTTGCTGAAGCTCTTCCCGAAAAGAGAACAGCTGTCCTTTGTATAGGCCTACACATCCCTCAATAAAGTCTGGGCGGTGTGAAGGGGTATGATCTGAGGGAGAAGATTCTGCTTTCCAAAAGTATGATTGACAGTCCTGTTCCGACGCTGGCTTTCTGGCGACACTTTTCATAGATGAAAACGTTCTATGGTGGCTGCGTTTCCTTTCTTCATGGTTCTTCTAACCGAGAGGAGAGCATACTTCAGGTTGAACGGATCTACTTTGTTTTTTACTAGAACATCGAGATCCACAAAATGCAAAATGTTGGCATGCGGGCGAGGGGTGCTACTGTGCCTTTGAGCACACACTCAATCTAAGATATAGCATTCAGAAGGTCCTTAACTGATCTTACAGTCCTTTCGCAGACGACTTAATTCCTGGTTCCTCCCTCCCAAGCCTTCCGTTTCAGACACCTAATTTAAGGGAGGGGGAGCCTTTTTAACAAAATTGTTGCTATTGTTAAACCATTTGGAGTAAAAAAACACAAAACAAAACCTTGCCGGTCTACTGCAAACCATCCCGAGAGAGATCCATTCGTAGATCCTGATTTACCATCTGTCCAGTTCTGTTCTAACCAATAGATCTTCATCACGAAACATGGAAGATCCTCCCCTTTCCTCAGAGCTGAGTATGTCCTTACAGTCTGGATAGGCTGACTGAGAGAAATCAGAAAAGAGGAAGTTAGCAGCAGTGCACACACACTCACAAACACGCAGGCATAAACACACACACACACACACACACACACACACACACACACACTTCATTGAGTTCCCAAAGCCTTCATATTCTTCCACAGCAGTCTTAAACACTTCTTCAGTCTTCAAAGGCTTTCAATATTCTGCTCCCCTCAAATATCCTGATTCTTATTGGGCCACCCGAAAAAAACAAGGAGGGCAATCAATATTTCAGAAGTTTCTCTCATTCAGTTTAACGGGGCGTGGAAATTTGCGAGCTCTAGGATATGTATTTGAAAGTGAGACCAGATGAAATAAAGGAGACGGACTTCTGAGTAAACATGTTTATTGGGATGTAAAGATGTGTAAAACCAGTCATTTAAATTATAAAGCGTTGTGGCCTAAACCGGTAGTAAACTGACAACAATGTTTGATGACAGAATCTTCAAACATGGGCCAGACACAAATTCTTTCTCTGTTCCTCCCCCCCACTCCCCCTCCCCTCCCCCCCTCTCTCTCTCACACACACAGAGAGAGACACCCACACCCACACACCCCTACCTACTTCTCCGGGGCTAAATTATAGTCTTGGTTCCACTGGATTTGATTTGCATTCATTAGAGCAGGAATGGAAAAACCACACGTGGGTTTTCAGCATTGTGCAACCCTGCTTTCATAGCAACACTGAATTTGGAACCCCGGTTATTGGGACTGGGTTTACAGCACTGGTAACATAGGGTCAAAGGATGGAATCCAGCCAGCCAGACACTCCAAGTCCTCAAGGTGCCAGAATACTCTTTCTTGTTGGAAGATGCTTCCATAAGGTTATCGTTTATGGGTGTTCAGCACATTTCTCTTTGTGTCCGTACCTTCCACTATACAGGTCTGAAGTTTCTTGTATTTTAATGTGGCTGTTCTGTGATCTTGTGTTAGCGCAAGGCAGGTCTGAACATTGAAGCTGCCTTATACCAGGTCAAATTATTGGCCCATCTAATCCAGCCAGCAGCAGTCTTCCACCAGAGGTCTTATCCATGAGCTGATACCAAGTTTTTAAACTGATATAACCAGCAACTTAAGCTGGGCTATTCTGTGTGCAGAAAAATGCCCTACCTTTGAACTACTGTCCCATTCACTGAAAATGACATTAAAATCCAGGCAGGAGCTTCTAGGCGGGAGGACACTTGGGCTCAATTTTTCTTGCATACTGTTTCTTGGATATTGTGCAATCATATAATTTACTTAGACTACATGCTAGAACTTTCTCTGTCTTATTAAGACTTAGGGATGCCAATACGTCTGTGGGAGGATGCACACAGGCCTAAAGTAAACACACACTCTGCTCCTACTCAGTATTTAGCTAGTGGAACCAAGACCATCCCTATTGCCTACAGCCAAGCCAAATGTTCTGGAAGGCCCATTATAACAGCAGTGACTCCTTCTTGTGAAAGAAAAACAGGTTGTTCCTCTTTGTAGAAAGCTACAAAACTCCTCTGGCCCTTACCAGTTTGGACCACATTAACCACAGGGGGCACACTCAACATCCTGATCACCCAGCTCTTTTTTTGAAGGGAGAGTGGGGTGATTGACAGAGGTTGCTTTACCTTTCCTTCACCTGAGTGCAATACTGCATCTTATTTGGCCGCAGCAAACTGAGGTTGCTAGCCTCTTAGGACAAAGTCCACTCCAGAAGCAGCTTCCTTGAGAAAGACCACACACATCTTTAATGAGCCAATGGAACGAGCCTTAAATAAAATAAATAAAAACAAAAAGAAGCAAGCAAAGAAGGAATTTACATGGAGCAGTAGAATGCTACGGTATATTCCAACTATAATTCCTTTGGAAGGAGTCCATTGGGTGTTGGTCTTCTGTGACCTGAACCTACGCAGGGAAATGCTGCCTGACGGTGTTTGGGTGGGGGCGGGGAGGTTGTAAGACAAAGAGAAGGGGAGAGAGGGAGGAGGAGGAGGCACACTACTACTAATAGTAGTAGTAGTAGTTCGGTACCTTTGCACTCTTTAACACAGTAATATGGAGCA